TTTATAATTAAAGATTATTGCTCGCAATTTCGTCAAAATCTAAATCCATTTGAATTGGTTCACACACATGCTCGCGTCACAACTTTGTAATATTATGCCACGAAATTTCTTGTCTCGCTCGCCTGTTCTTTTCTTTGAGAACATAACATAGCCCAATATAACGTTTACTGGCTGAACGGAGTTGCAGTAACAAAGAAAAATATTTCTTGAACCATCATTTGTTCAGTATCTACAGATCTCCAAATGCACGACTGAAAAAAAATGGGAAAACTGCATATTATTTTGACAAATTGTTATGGCTGTAATAAGGTCAAAAAGAGCGCCCACATCTTCCCGAGACACAAATTTTATGCATGTTCAAGACAAAAGCATGAAACATGTGCTATCATTTTAAATTGCATTTTAAGTACATAATACCCAGCTTTGTGTTGATACAAGAAACTATCATGCAAACGGCATTCCTGATCAACACACACATTTACACTGTTATGATGTAATTCGTCACTTACAATTTCATATAAAAGAAACAACTTTTTTTTCAAAAAGATAATTATGTGGTTATTTCTGTTTGTAACAAACGTGGTACCAAAAGATGGTCACATGTTGATTTGTTTATTTGGTTATATTTTTGTTGTGAAGCGAATTATAGTTGTGTTGATATAATCACAAGTTGAATTGTGTACCATCGTCGTCGTGTCTGAAACGAAAACAGTGGTGAAAAGGTCAGGTTTACTAACAATATACTCAAATGATTTCTGATTTGGGTCATTCCGGTCATTTTTTTTTTAAGTTTTGAGACAGCACAGTCATACTTGATTGAACTCATGATAAACAAAACGAAGTCATTTCTCGGTTGTGTGGCCATTTTTCCTTTTTTGGAGTAAGGGAGATAATTCAAGCCAGTGACTACCTCTAAAATGATGCAAACTATAGTTAAAATAAAATTTAACTTATGACGGTTTAAATGCTATCAATATTAGCAATGTTTTCTATTACAATTCTATTAAAGAAAATAATACAAGATTACAAGGTACTTCAATGATAAAACTATAACAGTCTTTTCTCATACCAATATATTTGTCACATGACCATGATATGCTCTAATTGTCATATATACGCCCTCCTTCATCGTTTGAGATAACACTAAATTAGACTTATTACCGAATCAATACTTACCGTGAAGGGTATTAAATGTTGAGCAAGATCTGCCTACTAGTCTGAAGCACATGCAATCAACTTCACTTTTGTTAGGGTTCATGTTGATTAGTCTATAGTTTTGTATTTAGTATTTGTGCTAAATAGTGCTTTTTCTAGAAAAATGAAAATCCTAGATACAAAAATCGTGTTCTATCTGAGTGTGATAGCATCAAAATGCTAAAATTAAATATCGACAACACATTTATCCAATTTGTTTGACTGATATTTCAATCAACAGACGGTATTCCAATTGGCACTAGCTGTGCAACTTTTTTGCGGGTTTTATCGACTTGCGTTTTTTTATGGTCATCGATATCGTTTCCCCTTTTTGATATTTGCTGATTACAACCCATATTATTTAATTAGTCTTGGAATATAAAGAATCAGTTTAGACGCCTTTAGAGACTCAATTCAACCAGTTAAATAATAATTATATTTTTTATTTCGTGATTTTTATGGTAAGAACTATTTGATTATGATAAAACACGAAACGATATCCGTGGCAAAAAAGAATAATAATTTGATTTCAACACCAATAAAACTGTTACATTGTTACATTTAGGATTTACACTGCAAAAACCTTCGACTATATGATACACGATTGTCGCTTCTAGTTTTGTTAGGTAATTGTGAATTTGGCAAATACTTGAACAATTTCAATAAATGTCATTATTTGAAGTGTATACGTTGAAGTTGGTATGAGGTATAATACTTTAATCTATTCTAATTTTTGTGTAGCATTATGAACTTAAAAATAGACCAGGAAGTCTTCCTGGTTAGCTTGATATATTTCTTGTGTTTAATAAACGCACCTCTGTAATGCAAACATATCACAAAATGACAAATAACTTGAATAAGAATAGGAGCAACAATTTTTAAAGAGACTGATTATATTTACTCATATATAGAAAATAATACGTTAGTAACTAATTATACAAAAACAAATTGCATAGCTGGTATTCGTTACCTCACTTAGATTGTAACTTAAACTCTGAATATAACGGATACTGCTTCAGAAATGGTGATTGTTCCTCATCGATTTCAGAAAGACTGTAGTTTTTTCTTTTGTCTTTTTTAACGTTTTATCTTGTTTTGTTAAAAAGATGGTTATTTCGTCCTCTATCGACTTCTTATGATTAGAAAAATCAATAAATTGTCCTATTCGTAGAAACGCTCCCAAATAACGCTTTGCAATTTCATTAGCCTGCAGAAGGTCGTAATAAACAATGATTATTTCGCTGTTCAGGTCATGTGTATAATTGTACCAGGCATGTTTCCATTCTATTTCATTCCAACGAATTTGTCCCGGGTACTCTTCACTCAAAATGATGATAAAGTTTCGAGGAATTGCCATCACTTGTATCATTTCCTGTTCCCGGGCTATTCCTGGTTCACTATCTCTGCACGGCCAAAACACCTTAAGCATTTTTGCTCTTCTAGATTAGGAATTAAATTCGATGTCAGCCACAGACGAATCTTTTCATCTTCTTCATTGCACGCAATATATACGTCGTAACAAAATGACAAAGGATAAGAAGTCTCCCTAAAATATTTTATGAATTTTCGACCAATTATGAAAATCTCGAATCGAAAGAAAAATAGTACTACCGTAAGTAAAACGACAATTAAGAACGCAGCAATGATCATTGTACTTATCCATAGGAAATTTGTATCCGGTATTCTACACCCAAGGTCTTTTTTTGTCATAATTGATATGGAAATTAATTGTCCATGAATCCGGCACATTACTTGTATATTGTTTCTACATTTTGAATCATTCTTTGGAAGCTATTGTTGTAACCAAATATCTTTACATGTGCATTGCATTATTATAGTGTCCAGATAAATGTTGCAAGGGTTGAGTTCCCCAATAGATCTGTGTAATGAATAAATATTGTTTCCTCTTAAGTACAGCTATTTGTAAGAACCAGGCAGAACTAAAAGTGATTCACCCAATTTACCAATTCTCAGTTTATTTTGTATAAATATCTTCACTATAGTATTAAAGATAAGAACATACAAAAATATTGCCACAAACTAATAGTGATACCTAAAAAATTAATGATATTAAATCACTAGTTGTTCCTATTATTCCTTTGTAAATGGTACATTATTCAAAGATGCTCATTTGGATGCACAAGTAAGAACCATGTATAACTATGCACCAAATTGAAGTTTTATAACTCCTGTATGTTTTTTATGTCAAACATATTCGGGTTTTCATACTAAAGTAGTAGAAAATTAAAATTTAAATCTCTATTGGTTTGCCTGTAATTATCTCCCTTTTCCCGTATAATTTGGAGATCTCCAATTTGAAAACCATAAAATGTGTATTGTATACATTCCATAACAACAGTTATGGCAGCAGACGTTGAAATGAAATGCAGTTTTTCATGCTTTACTCATGTTAAATGTGCCACTTCTAACTTTTATCCCTCTGAAACATCCGTATGTTTGATAAATGAATGTAAAAAGGATATTAGGAATCACTTGAATACCTACAAACTAGGTAAATATACATGCTTAGAAGAGGGGCATTTGATATGTTATCGAGCTGGAATATTTTCTGTGATGGGAGAATATTCTGTGTGTCCCAACCACAGGTATTCTCTTGGTATCAGGTGGAGAAGGAGTAGCACTTTATGTGGACATCCTGATCACACAGGAAAGTCCAAACCAGAATCGGACAGATGTGTCACGCCTCAAATTAGCCACCACCTTTTGAGGACCAGATGAGTTGTGGTACCAATAGGATCAGGTAATTTAAATTATCCAATCAACAAAGAAAAATATTTATGTAGTTGTATAATTGAGTATATTGATAGCCCAAGCTCTAACCTTAAATGGAGGGTGGGGGAGCTATGCCGTATAGATATAAGAAGATGTGGTATGAGTGGCAATGGCAATGAGACAAATCTCCATCCAAGTCAAAATTATAAAAGTAAACCATTATAGGTCACAGTACAGTCTTCAACACGGAGCCTTGGCTCACACCGAACAGTAAGCTATAAAGGGCCCCAAAGGTTACTAGTGTAAAACCATTCAAACGGGAAAACCAACGGTCTAATCTATATAAAAAACGAGAAACGAGAAACACTTATGAACCACATCAACAAACGACAACTACTGAACATCAGATTCCTGACTTAGGACAGGTGCAAACAAAAGCAGCGGGTTTAAATCAAAAAAAAATTCTGAGTAAGTTTACTTTTTGTCTTGCTTGTACTAGTGGCTATGCACATTTTTTAAGTCTGAAGTACCATGATATTTTTTGTCTGTTTTGTATTAAAACCAACAATTTTTGGAGTAAATGTGTACATGGTGTACAAGCATGGTTTGAAATTAGCAGGGGCCACTTGCCAGGCAATGGCCCCTTAAATGTTGGTGTGGGCTACTAAAATGTCTGCTTTTCTTGTATAGAACTATATATATTGGGGACAAAATTTAAGATGTGGCTACTGTGCCAACATTTTAACTTCAAACCCTGCATATAAGTGTCACTTTAAAAATTTGAGAAAACAATCAGGATTTGTTATTGAATGCAACAATGATTTCCCTATATACATTTGTACATGTTCATTATTTATATCTTTCCTGACAAGCTGTTCATTCAATCAATTGTCAATTGAGTAAAAAACCATATGCATGTTTTTGATTTTTACAGTAAAAAACAATTGTAGTCATAAAAATATTATCCCCAGGCCCATAGACATGATAGACTAATCAAATATAAATGTACAAATTTCAAAATGTATTACACACATTTGTACTTTTTATAAATTCAAGTTAAAACATTTACTAGAATGTGTAGGTATGAGGTATTAAATTTATTTCTTTTTTTATATAGGTTTGTACAGAAATTGCAGACAGATAATTACCAAAGAAATTGAAGAATCTAAATGGCCAAATTTTGAGGTAAAATTTTAATTGAATAGCATGCATATTGTAAACAATACGTAAATAATCTTTATTATATACCTTAGTTACATATATATTACAAACATTTGTATTGGGTAACACGTTATCACGTGACATGGAATAATTCAGTCAATTTTTTACAAAAAGATTATACCTTTGTTGTACAGATGAGAAAGTCTTAGTCACAAATGTATTTATCGAACGTCAACTCGTGTTTGATAAAGTAAGGTAAGCATTTTTAAATGCTTCAAAAGGACCTTCCACTGTTGGTTTGGTATGATAAATCAATTCTGGCCCCTTATATTCAAGCGATGAATATATATCCAAAATTGTCTACCCTTGAAAATTATTTCACTTCTGGCTGCGCCCTCAGTGAAATAACCTTCTTAGGTTGACAATTTGAGATATTCACTTTTTCTACGGGCATAATAAACTCAGTGAATTGATTGCTTCTATTCTTGTTATAATTGGAGAATTCTCGATTGTAACTTTGATGTCTGAGATTTGTAGGGTTACTTTATATAATTTACATGTACAATGTATATGATTGCAGGTCTTAAAAAATCTTCTCTATATTTCAGATATGTGATGCACCTAGTAGGGCTGATCATTTAGAAGATGCTACAGACCTTGAGGTAAATAACTTGTTTAAGGTTTACCCAAATTTTATTGTTATCAATGCACTAAGTATAAATTGGGCTATTCTAGTTCACTGATGTACAATGTATTTTGAATAAAATTTGTAATACATGTACGTACTTTACCAATCTAATTAAAATTAAATCCTTGAATTGCTCTTGTTCTGATATGCGCAACATGTCAGAACAAGAGCAATTCAAGGATTAAATTTTAATTAGATTGGTACTTTACTGTTCTACAAACAAACTTCATTTGAACTTTTTGAAGAATATAAAAATGCACACAAAAATACAATTTTTTTTGCAATTTATTTCATTATTGGAGACACTGTTTTTATAGTTATAAATTTTCAAAAAAATAACTAATTGTTCAGGGTTAGCAAGTAATCCATCCTGCAAGCTCCTCACCCTCGTAAAGGTTGTCGAAGTCCCACAAGAATATCCATTAGCATCGCTGTGAATAAATTAATTCAAATGTCTTCTGTCCATATAAATAAGAAGATGGGGTATGATTCCCAATTCAATGAGACAACTCTCTATCCAAGTTACAATTAATGTATTTAAAAGTTCTTTATACGTGTTAAACACAAGGAAATGTCATATACAGATATTTCTTTTATTTTTTTTATGCCAACCTTGCTAGGCAAAGATAGCATTATGGTTTACCCTTGTTTGTCTGTCAGTAAATATATCATTCCCAAAATTAGTTTATGATAATAAAAAGATGTGGTATGATAGCCAATTAGACATGTATATGACAGTACAGCCTTCAACATTGAACCTTGACTCACACTGTGAAGTAAGCTACAAAAATGTATAAAGGACTTTAAAATGAGCAATGTAGAACAATTGTGAAGAGACAAACCAACAACCAGATTTATATCCACAAAAAAATATATGAGACACAGTTACAAGTGACAACCATTTATATTACAGGATCCTATGTTATATTTGTTGGGATGTTCTTAGTTCAGTGAATGCAAACAAAACATTGATTTTTTTTCCAGACAATTGAAGAGCCTGTAACAAAAAGACCACACAGAGAAATTGTTAGTTGTTTTGATACACTTGGACTGAATGAAGTCTCATCACAGGTAAATATAATACCCCTAAAGTGAAGCTTGGGAATATGTTATTTCCTTTATTCTTATGATTAAAAAAAAATAGACATCAAATAAATGTCAATTAGTGTAAAACCACTGAAAAATTGAATATAAAACACACTCAAAAAACCATTACTGTACAGTCAACAACAGATAAAATTAGATTTGGTATCGTGTTTTTTTTTTCCCGATAACTGTACCAAATGATCATGTATATTTATTTTCAAAAGTGTCCAATATTATACGCTCTCAGGTATAGTTAAATGCATGTGATTCACAGAGGGAAAAAAAATGGAACCTCTACAACTCAATCTATAAGACCAAACATATATAGGTGCACTCGATTATGTTATAATGTTATATTATTTATTACTAGTATTACATTCTAGAAAGATGTTCTTTTTCATTCATTGTCATATAAAAGAATAATAAGTACAATGTATTATTATACATGTACTACTTTTTCTGGTAATACAATGCACTTTTTTCAGCCTCCTGCTTCCCCGGACAGTTGGTTTTAAATGTAAACGGAAATCCCTAGTTTGCATCCTGGGCAACTGAGGAAATTGTAAACAGAAAACTTTTGGAATAAACAAGTATCTATTTAAAAAAAAATATGATGAAGTAACTGGTATGATGAAGTAACTAATATATTACAACTACTAAGAATAGATGATGAATTTACTAGTATAACTAGTACTCAGCCTTCACAATAAACTTTTGAGTCCACAAGCCTGAAGCTCAATTTTTTGAAAATTTTAGTTGGATTCTGTTGGCTTGTAGAGAAAAAATTAACAAGCCTGAAAGCAATTTTACAAGCCTGGGCCGTAGGACTTGAGGTTAAGCATGAAGACTGAGTACTTATTAGAAGAACTAGTTGATAAAGAAACTAGTAACTGTTTGATAAAGAGTATATAGCAACATGATATGCAAACAGTTGTATTGAGACTTCTTAAAATAATTGACATTTACTTTTTCAGTCTGAACCAGCATTATCTCAGGGATCAAGTTGGAGTCAAACTTCAGAAGGTCAGCAGCAGCTTAGCAGTGGAATTCATGTGTTGAATGAACAAATTGTAAATCTTTCTACTGGAAACACAAGTCCAATAAAATACCAACTTCAACAGCCGTTGAAATGTGTACAAGATAGTACTAAGAGGTATTTTTAACAAACTTCTCATTTCAGCTCACCTGGCCCTGAGCTTTTCTCATAACTTGGCGTCCCCCTCTCTCATCGTTGTTCATCATTGTTAACTTTTACAAAAATCTTCTCCTCTGCAACAACTGGGCAAAATTTAACCAAATTTGGCCACAATTATCATTAAGGTATCTAGTTTAAAAATGTGTCAAATGATCCCACCCGCCAACCAAGATGGCAGACATGGCTAAAAATAGAACATAGGAATAAAATGCAGTTTTTGGCTTATATCTCTGAAACTAAAGCATTTAGAGCAAATCTTCCATCAGGTTGAGATCTGTCCCCCCCCCTCTCAAAAAAAATTATTTTTTTTAGACGTACCATACAACTTGTTGTTGGGTTGCTGCCGCTGAATTGGTAATTTTAAGGTTATTTTGCATTTTCCTTTATATTATCTTAAATAATATTATAGTATATAATATCTGATAATTTATAGCATCAAATACTATTAGTTATGATTTAACCTTATTTTACATAATTTCCAAAGGAACAGAAGATGTAGGTGAGCGTCACAGTTTGTCTTTCCCTTTAACTGTTGGGGTGGGTGGGGGGTTGTTGAAATACTGGCATTAGTCTGTCCATGGAGTCTTGTTAGTGCTCTCACACGGGTGGTACAATTCTTGCCAGATTTTTATAAACTTTATCTATATGTTAATATTAGCAATATCTTGTCAGAACAAGTTCTATATTAGTGAATAATCAAATTTGTTAAAGAGTTATGCCCCTTGGAAATATAATATCTGTGCAAAACAGGGACATTTGAACTTTTATTTAAAAAAAAACAGAAAAAAGAGGTCAATAATTAAAAGAGCAAAAATAAGACTTTTCATATATAATTTGCTTTTATGTCCTCCCTTGTTATTCTCATTCAAAATTAAACTTTGTTGATAGTAATGGTCAAATATGACTGAATTTCTAAACCTCATAATTGAACTTAACATGCATTTATCATCTCCAGAGATGTGAGATTATTTTAATATAAATGTTGCTTTATTTCAGATACTTAAAGAGAAAAGCAACAGAAGTCATCCTAACCATGCTCCACTATATTACTCCTGGCCAGTCTTCTGTATTATTTCGATGGTTAATGGACGACTGTAAGTTGAGCAAGGGGTTTGAAAATCAAAGCCAAGATCAATTGATGACATTGATAATAAGGTTATATGAGGAAGCTGAAAATGACATTTTGAAAATACAGTTGTTGTCATTGATATCATCTTCAAATTTTAATAGCAAGTCTGACTTACAGCAACTTATTCCAGGACTATCAAAATGGAAAATTGATCAGAGTAGGGACTATTCTGCACACTGTGGAGCAGGAAATATACCAGCAAATAAAGGCAAAGTGTTTAGAGACAGAATGGATAATGAAAAACTTGAGCATTCTTTGTCTTTTTTTCTTGATCCAAACTTTATTCAGATTTGTTCATATGGAACCAAAGATATTCGTTGTGATAATGGTGACATCATAGCCATCCCTCAAGTTGTGAGGACAGCTTGTCATTCAGCTTTGATAAATATGTATAAAAAGGTTTGCTCAGAAACCACTTTCACACCACTTTCAGATAGTACACTATTTAAGATTTTATCAACTTGTGCATCTGCAAAGAGATCTAATTTATCTGGATTGGACAACATAGCAACAGATGGTACATTTGCAGTGGACAGTCTTCTTAGAGTTACCGATACACTTAAAGAGTTAAGAGCAGACACAGCTATACTGTCAACCATAAGTGCTGCATTGAAAAGTTTGAAACTGTATCTTAAATCTGAGTACAAGTTCAGTATCTCACAGTCTGATATTTGTGGAACTCACTGCATAAACATGCATTGAGTAAGCCTGGAAATTTACTTCTACAGGACTCATGCGACCACTCTCATGAAAACAGCTGCCAGAAGTGTAAATTATTGACAGAAGCCAAATTCAAGCTTGATAATGAAGTTCAGAAAATAGAATGTAAGATTGTGAAAAGTGAAATGTTATTTAAAATATCATTTAATTTAAACAGAGAAAATCTGAGATTGATGTTTAGGGATAAAGAGGATATATATATAAAAAATGTGCAGTTGACTTAAGGAATGACTGTAATATTTTTTCTGTCTATGAAGAAATAACATAAAAAATATGTTGCACACTGAATAACCCGTGTAGCGGGTTATCTAAAAGTATGCACCACATTTTTTATGTTATTGCGAATAGATAGAAAAAATATTAAAGTCATTTCTTATAATTTAATTCTAAAAAGGAGTAAATCATGATAAAAACGTTGATGACGTCGCGGTCACATGACAAAATTATGTCTATGAGCTGATAGACAAAACACTTTTAGCCAATCAGAAGACGTGTTACATCCAAAATTAAATTATATGATTATAAAAAAAGGCCATATACAAATCACCTAATGATAATCAATACATATAAAGACATTCAGATCTCACCACATGCTCTTCAATGCAGCATGAATTTCCCTTACTTCAAAGGAGAAGAGCATAAGCCAACACAAATATTTAAATCTGCATCGCCCACTACAATACTTTTTTTATTACTAGTAACTAAAAAATTCAGTCTGCTCATTTGATTACAAATTCGTTTTACTGTTAATGCAAAACTGCTTTAATTTCTTAAAATCTTACTTCCATGTTGTCTTATTAATTCCATGTTGTCTTTCAAAATAAAAAAATAGTTTACGTTTTATTATTGATATATGTAAATTTATTATATGACTTCTGTATTTTATGTTTTCATAAAATGTAAATAACAAGAAGAATTTAAAAAAATATTTTATGTTTTAGCTCCTGATATAAAAGAGGACTTGGAGAACTCTATCAACATTGATTTTGAAAAGGTTACTGAATGGCAAGCTCATGTATTGAGAACCAACAACCAAGAGGAGTGTCGTCTGAAACTGTTAGATGAGCTCGACAAGCATCAGTTGCTGATCGTCATGGACTGGGCCATGAAATGTTTACCTTTACTATACAGGGAAAAACAATCTGACTTCTTTGGACAGAAGGGCATGAGCTGGCATGTTTCAGTTGCAATTTTTCGAGCTGAAGACGAATCATTGAAGGTTAATATTTTTCTCAAAACTTTAATTATTTGATTAAATGAAGTTCACAAAAAATACCCCTGCTCTTTTTGATAATTAACAATAATTTTTAAGAATAAAGAAAATTAATCAAATCCAATGATAATTAGGTGATACATGTAAGAACATATTACTATCATAAAGGTAAATAAAGATGACCTTCTTGAAGGAGTTGCTGAAATATGGAAGTGAAAGATTAAGTTGGTACATCGTTATATATTTACTTTAAAAAAAGATGATGTGGTATGATTGCCAATGACACAAGTCTCCATAAGAGACCAAATGACACAGAAATCAACAGCTATAGCTAACCGCACTGCCTTCAACAATGAACAAAGCCTTTACCGCATAGTCAGCTATAAAAAGCCCTTAAATCAAAAATGTAAAACAATTCAAACTGCTTGCTTTTCCATTATCCTGTACTTACCAAATTGACACTATGAATATCCCGGGCCATATCTAGTTTTTTGTTTGTTTTGAGGATAATTATACATATATTGTATATCATTAGTTACAGGTACATAAAACTACATTCGTGGATTTTTGTAATATATGCATATAAGCATTGTTGAATAAAACGAGTACACTTCATTATAGAATTTCTATTCACATACCTATATCTTGTAGCTCTTAATGATCTAAAAACATGAAATATTTTTGTCTTTGTAGCATAGATCATTTACCAATCTTTTTGGAAAGGTCAAACAGGACTGGTTTGCTGTGGCTTCAGCTTTAGAGCATACTCTTACAACTATAAAAGAACAGATGCCACAGATTCAGGAAGTGTTTCTGCGCTCGGATAATGCAGGTTGCTACCACTGCGGATGCCTTTGGTTGAGTTTACAAGGAATCAGTGAGCGCACAGGTATATAAATAAGTAGAGTGCCATAATTTCCTTTACAGGTGGAATAATTTATTTAAAAAAAGATTAAGGAATAAAACCCTCTGTCTGTCACTCCCTTAAAAACAGATTATTTTCATGTCAAATTGAAATTTATATTAAAAAGATGGAATGATGATAACATGACTGGTAATCCCAAGTTTCATCTAATGAAAAAAAATTATGCTATTAAAAAAAGAAAATTATATTTGTCAATCTGGAGAATGTGCTTTTCTAAGGAAAAGACCATTTCAGAATTTTGTTGAAAACATCACAGTATAACCATAAATAAAATGCTTCGCTGAGCGCAGCCTGATACGACCGCAGAGGTTGAACCCTGAACAGTTGGGGCAAATTTGGACACAATATTCAAGCTTGACACTGTCCGAATTTGGATTGTGATCAAATTTTTGACATAATATAGGTTTATGACACAAAATAAATGTGGTCAAAGATCTTATAAATCCATTGCCCAATACTGTGCAATTGAAGATTTCTTCTTGAAACTTTTCAAAAATTCGAAATTTTAAAAATTAAAAAAAAAAAATATGAATCCCTTAAAAAAATTGGGAAAAAAATCCCCCCCCCCCAAAAATTTTTGAAACCCCCCTTGGAGCAATAACCCCAAAACTCAATCCCAGCCTTTCCTTTGTAGTATGGAACCTTGTAGTACAATTTCAGAAAGATCCATACACTTACACACAAGTTATTGTCTGGAAAATAGAAAAATGCTTGTTTTTGGCCCTTTTTTGGTCCCCTTATTCTTACATAACTGGGGCAATTAACCCCAAACTCAATCCCAGTCTTTTCTTTGTTATATGGAACCTTGTGGTACAATGTCAGAGAGATCCATACACTTACACACTAGTTATTGTCTGGAAACTAGAAAAATGCTTGTTTTTGGCCCCTTTTTGGCCCTTAATTCCTAAACTGTTGGCCCCATAACCCCTAAAATCAATCCAAACCTTCTACTTGTGGTATTAAACATTGTGGTACAATTTCAGAGCAATAGAAATACTTATACACAAGTTATTATCCTGAAACTAGAAAAATGCTTGTTTTGGGCCCCTTTTTGGGCCCGTAATTCCTAAACGGTTGGGACCATCATCCCCAAAATCAATCCCAACCCTTTCTTTTGTGGATTTGAACCTTCTTAAAAAATTTCATAGAGATCCATTCACTTAAACTAAAGTTATTGTCCGGAAACCAATGTGTCTTCGGACGACGACGCAGACGACGACGCAGACGACGACAACATCATACCATTATTCGACCCCAAAACCTTTTTTGCGGTCGTATAAAAATATGGGCCTCAGTGGCCAAGTGGTGTAATTTATTCGTTTTTTGTTATCAATATAGCCAGTCGAAACTGAGGTTAAGAGTTCAGAAACAGCAAGCATGGGTGCACACTATTCCAATCTTAATTGACTAGGATTGGCCATCTCCCTATCAAAGGCCAAAGTTTAGTTTGAATTATGAACTGCTGATAAACCATCAAAGACAGGACTGACAAGTTGGAAGCATGATGGTCAGTTTTCGGATACATCTGGTGTTTGTCTGTATATAATAAAAAAAAATTGGAACACTAACTTGAAGGTGTCGAACAGTTTGATGTGAAACAAGAATATATAATTTTGGACTAACAGATGCAGACAATGTACCAATTTTGATAATTTTTTCTTTTTTTATGAAGAAATAATCTTGTTATTAGAGTTATTGCCCCTTGTACACGTTACTGATACAATGTTCGAGATAGACTCTTAGAGTGAAAAATATGTTTTATGTTTCAGGTATAAGAGTTACACGTTACGACTTCAGTGAAGCGCAGTCAGGAAAGAGCATCTGTGATGCAAAGATAGCCCATATGAGATTGAAAATGCGCATGTATGTGTCATCAGGGAGGAACATCACCAGTCCTTTCGAAATGCAGGCAGCAATAATGGATGGAACAGGAGTCAAAGCTTGCCAGTGTGCTGTTGTGGAAGTTGACTCGTCAAAGCAGACCATGACAAACCACCGCATTAAAGGAATTAACCAGATGAATAACATAGCTTTTGATGGGGACGATATAATTGTATGGCAAGCCTTTAATGTAGGCATTGGGATAAAGATGCAGAGAAGTAAACTTTTGAAAAATGAACAACTTGATACAGGATTGAAGATTTTGTCAAATTTTGAAGGTGCTCAACAAATAGATGGTAATATTACCAAGAAAAGTAAGGAAAATACAACAGGTAATACTGCTGAACCTATTGAACAGTCAGTTTTTTACTGTACAGAACTTGGTTGCACAATGCAGTTTTCCATTAATCAAGGTTTACAGGACCACATTGATCTTAGTCGTCATACTGATGAAAAGATGTCCACTTATGATCATTTAAGACACCGTTGGGTTGCTACATGCCAAGCAAATCTCTTCTCTTCAAGAGAAATTTTGAGGCGAACCACACAAGAAACAGAACAACATCACTCCGTAGAAAATGACATACAATATGGATGGGCTTTGAAGAAAGAGAAAAAATTTGTGCGCTTCAGCTGTAAAGTGAAGGAGTTTTTACAGAAGACTTACCAGGATGGAGAAGTATCTGAAAGGAAGGCAAACCCATCAGATGTCAGTCAAAACATGAAGTCTCTGCGCAAAGACAATGGTGAGCGATTATTTTCACCAAATGAATGGCTGCAACCTTCACAAATAAGTTCATATTTGCACGTTTGTCAATCATGCCAAGAGATCAAAGCAACAACGCAGATATTATTGATGAGGACCTTCAAAGCATTGTACAGGCTATTGAGGAAGAGGAAATCAGGAATCTTGTTACAGCTTCAGTTAGTGAATGAACAAACTTACAAAATTTGAATATGACTTGCATCATTTTATTCTTTATGTAAATTTGTATTTCATTCTTACAGACGAACTGTTTTAGTTCTCATTACTGATTAAAGTTTACATCTAAGTTCATTATTCAAAAATTTGGTTGGAAGCTAAGGAACTGGATGATTTAATTTTGTATATTTAGGATGGAAGGTCAGCATCTAGGCAAAAGAAGGTCACTTGGGCCTATTTTTTTTTTTTACTTTTCTTGATTTTTTGGTTTCTTGTTTTTGTCAATTTTTCAGAACCAATCAGTCATCAGTAAACTAAATTTGTAATAATTGAACCTTGATGATTTAAATATGTATTCCATAGTGGTCAGTATTTGAAACAATTTCTAAGTTTAAAGACTTATAGTAATTTCATTTTGGTAATTTCTATATATAATTGACAAACTCTAAAATGTGTCATATTAGAATTTATTTGTTACCACCCTTATTTAAGAAATTGTGCTCAGTATTTAGAAATTATGCAGATAAATATGTTCCTTGCAGCACTGTTTTAATGAAGATGAATTTTTTAATTGTTATTCTAGAAATCAGATTTGACTGTTCATTTATAATATGAAGCAATATTTTTTAAAATAAAATTATTTCTTTTCAAATGACAGATGATATAGGAAAATTCTAAAACTCTATGAAAATTATTTTGGTATCTTTTAACTTTTGGTGAAACAAATTCATTTATATGGAAACAAAAAATAATTTGCAGAACAGGATGCACCCCTCTGGCGCACCATGAAAAGTCGTAAGGTTGTAAGTCACTGGCGTAGATGGAATAAGCTCGTAAACTTGACCTGCTGCAAATCAAATCTTGCTTATGGCACATTTTTAATTATAAATTATTGCCATATGTCATTTGATAAGGTACATCTTATATATTCTATGTTTATTTTATGTTTTAAAAAAGAATTGCCTAAACATTTAGTCATTCATGGTTTATTGACATGGTTAAAATTTATATGGTTAGTGTATTGAAACTAATGATGTCAAATCAATGATATTTGGTATATAGTAGATTTATAGTATCCATTGTATTAAAAGCCCTTACATATTCAGTAAGTCATTGACTTCAAATTTGTCATAGTTAAAATTAGGCAACATCAGGTGCTCCAGAAAGTAAGCATGACTTGCTTCTAGTCAGACACCCTTGTGTTTCACACAATGGTAATATTCTGGAATGGAAGAAAGGAATATATGACAGGTGCACTGTTGCCATTCAGTATACATACATTATTACAATTGTTATTAGGTGGAAGAATCCTAAAATTTCGGATTGGTAATAATGTTACCTTGAATGATTGAAAATAAAAATTGAAAGATGACTAGGAAGAACAGAATGATTTTTAGTTCTGCTGGTCAACAGTAAAATCAAAATATAGATCTAAAAATGGATCTTTCACTGAAAAAGTTGTTTCTGGATGATACTGTAAATTCAGAAATTATTGCATGCATTTAATCATTGCAATTCTTTCATTTTCAATTTTAATTTTTGAGATGATAAGAACAAGAGTGCACACGCTGAAATGTCTCGTCTGCTTTACTGACCATTAATTTTGTCTTGATAGTCCTAAATATAAAAGCTGTAATACTAGTATCACACAAATAAGTATTGTAAATATATTCTTAACATGATCCAAGAAAAGAAGGTCAAAGTCAGTTACACCTTACAATAATTCCATACACAAAATATAGTTGACCTATTGCCTATGGTTTCTTAGAAACAAACTTAAACAGGAAAAGTTAAATGGAACAATGAACCATAAAAATGAGTTTAAGCCTTCAAGGTCAGATGATCCATGCCTGACAGACATTTACACCTTACAACCAACCTATGCATTAAATATAGACATATTTTTTTCAGTATCTAAGAAACAAATTTAACCATGAAAACTACATTGGCCAATGAGCCATGAAATTGAAGTCAAGGTCAATGATATTTGCCAGACAGACATGCATGTTCATCATAAAATATTTCCATACACCAAATAAAGTTTACCTATTACATATAGTATGCGAAAAAAAAAACAAAAACTAAAACTTAACTAACCACTGAACCATGAAAAAGAGGTCAAGGTCAGATGACACCTTCCAGTTGGACAAAAAAAATCACAATAATTTCTTAATTTCCAGTAACTATGCATGCCTTGTTGTAATTTGATGATGTTTACATAGACTTTATACATGGTTACAAGGTAGAACCTGATTGATTTTAAGATAACCCTTTCATGGAATCAAGAGATACAAGTTGTAAATATAAAGAAATATAATTGCATGTTGATTTTCGTTGAAAGAAGTACATTTACAGTGCTGAATAAAAGACATTATACCATATCCGTTTGTATCAAATTTGAACCTTATTTTGTTTCCATGGTTACCAAAAGCAGAATGAAACACTGAAGTGCTGAGTATAGACTTCAAACTTCATTTATCATATGTATTCAATACATTGATTTTCATGTGTTAGATGCTGATTGTGAATTATTTCAGCAATTTGAGGTCGGTTGCTAAGGCTTTTTATGTGTTGCTATGGTCATTTTACCATTTTAAGTAATTCTAAATTTTTTAAAAATATTTTCCAACAAATTATAGGTTTTATTGTGTGTTAAATTGCATTAATATAACAAATATGCACAATCTTAATAATAAACACATTTTCTGATTTTGTCATTTTTAAGAAAATTGCCAATTTTGGTTCCCATGGTAACAAAAATTGCGAAAAAAACCCAGATGTTTTTTTTACAATTTTCAATAATTCATTATTTGAACTTTAAGTTGCAATCATGTTTTAAAAGAAAATCATCTGCCCATTTTTAATTTTATTTGATTTAAAATGTAACATTTCAGCCATTTTCAAAAAATGTGAAAAACAGATTTTTGCCACTTTTTAAAATAGTATTTTCGATTTATTGGAAACAAAATTTCAAAACCTATACATTAAAATATATAATTCAAATAATGTTAAATAATGTTGTAAATTTTTTTTTTTTTTTGCAATTCTCATATTCAGAAATTTTTTGCAACCAAAATAGCATGGATTTTTCAATTTTTCATGTATGATTTCATCATAAATTCTCGAATAAATGGATGCATGTTTCCATTGCAACCGTTCAACAAAATTTAAAAATTTAGCCTGCAATCATCATTTCCACCTTAGCTGTCTATTATATAAAAAAATAAAGAAGTTCCGAAACATACATGAATCACCCCCTGCCTGGTTCTTACAAATAGTTGTACTTAAATCTATTTCCGCTTTCCTTAAACAAAACAAATGTGAGTGTGGTAATACATGAATTTTGTTGTTTGAAACATTTATTAACGTATATGGTCATAGTAATCGTCATGTCTGAAATGAATTTTTAGAATTTGTAAGTAGTTATTTAATCAATTAACCTCTAACACTTTGTAATCAGGGAGTACGCTTGGAAACGTTGTAAGATTCGACGAAGAACACTCAATCACAGTCCTATTTCTAATAGCTGGTTGATATATACAGCGGCATTTAGGTGGATATTTTTCTGCTAAAGACAAATTACAAATTAAACCATTATATCGGCGTTTTTGATGATTGTAAATATTGATATATCCTTTAAACTATTCGGGTTAAAACATTTAACGTCGAAGTAATCTCGTGTCATTGTAGACGCAAGGTGTTCTGCTGCAATTGCAAATGGATAAATATTACAATCACAATTCCAATTATTATCTCTAAAGTCAAATCCATAAGAAAACAATCTTCCGATATATAGAGGGTTTTCAAAGCCGAGGAAACGCAATATTTTGGCATTAAAAAACGATGTAAGTAAATTATTTGACGCATCCACCATTCCTCCATTTCCAAGGGATGTATTGGTCCTAAATTTCCATGATAGTTCATTTGTTATTGATTTTATTGCATTGTGGGAGTAATCTACCAGACAAAAAAACTGCTGTTTAGATGCCAATGCATTAGTGATATCCAGAGTTGACATATTGTTGAAGGCTAAGCGCAGATAAAATAAACTTCCATTCATGTTCAAGAGAAATCCAGGGTCCATTAAATTGATTTGATTAAATGATAAATCAATTATACGTATGAACTTCATTTGTAAAAATGTGTCATTTTCTAAATATTGAACTATTTATGGTTACTTGTTTGACTGATCAATTGTCAAATATATTGATTGCTATTGTTAACCTTGCAAACATTCCAATTCTACAAAATTAATTACCACAAACACAACTTGTCTATCAGCTAGGGGCATGATTTTAAGTAAACATAATTAGCATAAATATATTTTGAACAGCTGTAAGCTGATTACATTTTAAGATTTACCTCATTTTTCCATTTCTGATTTAAAATTGCGTAGACCTACACGTAATTCAACTCCGTCTTCAAAGGCTTCGTCATACTCTAAACGAAATGCCGACTCAAAATTTGTGAAATGCAAATCATGTGAATGAAAATAATGTATACTGGGTTGTACGAGTAACAGTCTTAATCATCTCAAATTTATACACTCTGCAAAATTTTCTGATACACTGGAGAACATGGAGAAGATGAAACAATTAACGGTTTCAAATATTGTCAATTCGTCGAGATTAAGAAGATGCTTATCTTCTTCATCTGAAGTTATTATAAACGCCAAATTTATTTAAGTAGCATTGGATAATTAAAAGCAACTCTTCAGCAGGAAGGCTCAAGGCCAAGCCTTATACTGCTCCAGGAAAACTTCAATTTATCGTATCATGAGAACGAGCATTTATAGTGTACTGTAGGTAAGGTCTTTACACACCAACTTAACTACCGGTTAATCGCGCCCTGCATTGGGAGAAGGGGAAATCTTGTTGTTCAGTCTTTAGTTTTTTATAACGTGTTTTGTAGACATGATTGTTTTTTTCGTGATTTTTCGTGGGGTTTTTTAAGAACTTTTTTTCAACATGTTGACCTCTACTGTTTGGATGAGTAGTATGTTTGGTGTAAATGTGGTATGGTGAACTGTTCAATATGTTTAGAAATTATAAATAGCAAGGAATTATTTGCCTTTCGATTAATTATAACCCTTCTTTGTTTATAAGCATCACAGCAAGAAGGGCCTTTATATAAACAAAACATAGGGTTCAATTTCGTTTTTTCAAACAAGGGAATTGTATGATTCATTAAAATAGCATAGTTAATATAATGAATATGTAAACCAAGCTGTTTTGCGTTTTGTAAACATCGAGACCATTTTTTAACAAGCAAGCAAGCAAGCAAGTTAAATTGAAGTTTGGAGCTGGCATGTCA